ATCATGCTGATTTTCGAACTTGACCTGCGTATTATGAATATTCATCAGTTCTGTAAGTTTCAAGTCAAAAGGTAAAATGGTTTTCCACTTATCGTGTTATCGGTGCTGCATATATGCTGAAAAAAGTGAAAAAACAGCATAAATTCCCTAAAAGTGACCCGATCATGCTGATTTTCGAACTTGACCTGCGTATTATGAATATTCATCAGTTCTGTAAGTTTCAAGTCAAAAGGTAAAATGGTTTTCCACTTATCGTGTTATCGGTGCTGCATATATGCTGAAAAAAGTGAAAAAACAGCATAAATTCCCTAAAAGTGACCCGATCATGCTGATTTTCGAACTTGACCTGCGTATTATGAATATTCATCAGTTCTGTAAGTTTCAAGTCAAAAGGTAAAATGGTTTTCCACTTATCGTGTTATCGGTGCTGCATATATGCTGAAAAAAGTGAAAAAACAGCATAAATTCCCTAAAAGTGACCCGATCATGCTGATTTTCGAACTTGACCTACGTATTATGAATATTCATCAGTTATGCAAGTTTCAAGTCAAAAGGTAAAATGGTTTTCCACTTATCGTGTTATCGGTAAAAGTGCACGGCGACGGCGACGACGGCGACGGCGACGACGGCGACGGCGACGACAGACGCAGATGATGGCTATATGTACAGACACATCTGTGTCTGTACATAAAAAACAGGCAACACACGAATAAAGAGTTTAACAAGGCAGCAAAGCTGTCAAACATACAGACATAAAGCAGATAATAGCAAAAACAATACAGGATTTTTGTTGATTTTGATGCAATTTAACATTATGTTTAACATCACAGCCACCACCAATTTCTGAATATGTATGAATGGTTACTTGGACATTCAGATAATCTAACTATTATAGGGCATCAGGCCCTAAAAAAAATGCCAATATGTGAACAAGTTGTGAATATTTGTTCATTGGGTCTGTATATAAAAAGTGATGATCTTGTCAAACTCACAATAAAGCAACTCCAATATGATAATTTATAATGCATCACTTAGTGTATTTTTTGGTTAATGTAGTTGTTGGTGGAGCCCAATGTCATCAATGCCAGTCAATGAAACCATTCATTTAAGCATAATTTCAACAGTGCAAGATCATGTGTTCAATTTATAAAATACCCGTACTGTAGATGTGGTAGCTTCTTGGATTAAACTGCCACATCACTGTTCTACTTAATATTAAATTATTTTAAATTTATCATAAACTTTTGGAACATTAGTAAATATACCTAATACATAAAAAATTGCAAGGTTAGTAATGCAGTTTAAGTACTAGTAATGCACTTCAGTCAGTTATATTTTAAAATATTTATTTTGTTACATTGGCAATTTACAATATTTATGTAAACAATGATTTTTTAATCTTATATCTATTTTGGACTATGCTATACCTGTATTTTGAATCCTCCACGTTTTTACAAATTTAATATTTGGTGGCACAGACTCTCCTTCTCCTATTGTGATGTCGCGTACTAAAGACATACTGGGAAGCTTATCTTTCGGCTGGTCATAGTCATAGTACGAACAGATTGCTGCCTGTAGATTCCTAAAAATATATATCATAAAGGGAAGAATGAACAACATATCTTGCTTTCTGTCAAATTCTTTTAGGATTTGTGAGATAGGATTGAACATTTATAGCAGTAGTGCAGACTGAGAGAAACTACAGACACAGGAAAAAAAAATACATAAAAAAGTCAAGAAAAAGAAACAATATAAAACAGATGGATGCTACAACCAGTGGTTGACTCACCATTGAGAAGAAATATATGAAACTACACATTGACTTCACAGTACTGTCTGGTGTAATAAGGACAACACTGTTGTGATGCACAGGTTGTATGAGATAGCAACAAAGCTACAACTGTTAGACAAGTTGGACAAAATAAAATAACAAGAAAAGGTCATATTTCTGACGAAAAAAATATCCATCCTAAAAACAAAGTATCAAAGCTCAAATCAAAGATAAACTACCTTGAAGAACAGTAAGAATGAAATAACATATTATACACAGGATAAAAGACCAGGGGATTGAAGAGAGTGAGAGCCGAAAGGAAGCCAAAAGAAAGACAAAGGTATTTATGAAAGAGGTGTTAGAAATAGACCGAGCCAACACAGAAAACATGGTGATCAAATGTGCACATTGTCTACATTCGCCCTGAAGAATCCCACTCCTGAAAACTGTCAAATTTAATAACTACAAAGACAGGGAGACTGTTCTAAGGAGAGCCAAAGAAATTATTAGAGGTAATAGGAAAATGAATGTGACACAAGGTTCTCCAAGAAACATGAAATAAGTAAGAAGGAAATCTGCTCCCTTCTTTTTGCAGGCAAGAGCAGAGAGGAAAACAGCTTTTGTGAATTATGACAAGCTTGTTATCAATAGGAAAAAGTAGATGAATGAAGATATGGTCAAACAAAAGAAAGATAGGAATCAGGCCAAGGTGATTCAGAAAATAAAAAAAGATACCAATAAAAAAAGATAACTTTCAATGCATCATTAGGAACACAATGGGTTGAAAAACTTCACAAGAAAAATGAGTACTAGTTCTAACAAGAATAGGAATCCTGAGTTGCTTATATTGTAAGCACGAATTTGAACAATTTATAATAAATTTTATATTATATCTTTTGTGTGTGAGGTAAAGCTATGGACATGAATGAAACTCAGCCACTCCCCATCCACAATACCAGTCGATGACTTTGAAAATCTTTGATGGCCATTGCCATTGTATTTACGTGGATTCTATCACATTCAGCCATAAATATTACAATTATGACCTTTTTGTGGAATGTCTTCAATAAACCCTTTCTGGCAATCACGATTACTCTTACCAATTGTTCATATCCAGAAAAAAAGCACATCCTTGCGGATTCAGCTGATTATCAAGAACTCTTTGGAACTCGGATATCAGGACCTCCTTGTCTGTGGTACCTAAACAGCTAAACTGCTGCACAAAATTGGCTTCCAAGTCGCTATCCACCTCCATCGTACGCCAAACGATACGGTAACATTCAACGTTTTTCTTTCTGTGAGTGTCAAATATATATATTCAAGATTTTTTTCATCAAGTAACATTGACATTACCTTGCCACAACAACGTTGTGTGACGTCACCGTCACCAAACTGCGCATGCTAGTTTCGAAATGCATTGTGGGTTCTTCATGTAAATTAGCCATGTGCGGAAGATAACATTGTAAACATAAAAGAACTGACGTGTTTGAATAAAACCGATATTTGTTTATATCAACTTCCCAGCTAAGATTAAAAAATAATTAAAAGTGTAAGTAGTCGTCATTACAAATATAAACCAAGTTGATTTATATGTTTTCCAATTTGTGTAACCCACAATTGTTTCACAAACTTTGAAAAAAAGGTTCGGTGTCTACCCATCGACGACAGTCTCGGGTGCGCCGAAGTTGTTTTAGTCTTTCACTCTTTAATAAAGTTTCTGGAATCTTAATCTAAGGATGCTTTACTCTAAAACAAAGGATGTACATGTATTTCGAGATACTATCATTGTGGACATATATTTATGCCATATAATATGTAGTAATTTATAAATTACTTTTTTAATAAAATTATTTTAAAGTTTGGAAAAAAATATTGAGGCGTCTGAGTTATAATCTTATTGCATTAACCTCTATATGTATGTCATTTATTGGAAAGAACTTCAGTCAGGTTTAAAGGATGCTTCAGTTGGAAAGTGAGTAACTTCAATTATCGTTTCATCTCGATCTCCTGCTATATAAAATTAGGCTCAGCGTTGAAGGTTTAGTACATGTATATTAAAGCAATAATAACTCTTCGTTTCGGCCAAAAAAAGAATTTTCCTGGAGTTAACAACAATTTTCCCATACTTACCAATGGTTAATGAATCCATTTTTACATTCAAAGTTAGTCCCTGGTTTTTTTCTAAAAAGTTTGGTTTTTTGTTAAAATCTCTTAAGAGATTTTAACAGAGTATAGACATCAATGGAGGTCACGTGGTCTAAAGACAAGTTCAAATATCAGAATAAAAGCTATAACTGCTGTTTTCTTGGTAAAACAGAATATATTATATTTCTATGAGTTATTCACAAGGTTTCTATTGTGAAATATAGGTCTCATACGAAGAGTTATTATCCCTTTAATTGGCTTCAATATTTCTTACTATTATATTTTATATGCTTCTTTTTGAATATAGTATATATTGTCAGATTTGGTCAGTCGCACCCATAGCGAGATTGCTGTACCGGCCTCTCTTAGAAGACACCAGAAAAATAAGTGTCGGATTCAGTTACAGTCGAGTGAATAGATCTATCTCTGTAAAGCGAAACAAGATGTTGTAACCATAGTGCGATAACTACGACTTTGCGTTCGTTCAGAATTATTATAAAGGGAGACCAAAATATCTATTTAAAGTGAAACACACAAATTTAAGAGATTAATTTTAAACAACTGCGTATTTGACGAGCATAACATTAGAATCGTCCTTTTACATGTACCATCCCTTTTTAACTTCTCCAATATAATTACTCTATTACGTGTTTCTATATACGTATGGCCTTTACATGTTTTGAAATAGATTAAACTTTTCTGCATAAACTCAAATTTTGCTTCTTTTCATTCTTTTTGTTGTCAGGATTACCTACATGAATTTTGACAGACCTACCTATTTGGGCATGAGAAATATATACCTACATGGATGTTGTCTCGCTGTTTTCAGCTGAGGGTGACTCATGTGCACCCCCTTATATGTTTTTAATTTGATTTTGCAACCTTGTTTAGATTTTCACACAGACCTAGATTGCATTTAACGGGAAATAATGAGTTCGGCGATTCTACAGTCTGTATATCTTTAACAAACCGGATTTGTTAAGTCAAACTTTGTTGTTCGGTTTTTATGTATCTTTTTACATACTTTTGTCATGTTTAATACACTTTATTTGTTTAAAAAATATCGACATTCATACACAGTTTATTATTATTATTATTCTCAAGTTTTGTTTAAATTTCATTTCTACAACTGATTAAGTTTGACGTTACATGATATATTTTTTATACAGTTAGGGGTGTGTAGATCATTTATATTAAATTGCAGACCCAGCTGAGAAAAGTGATATCAAGGCATAGTTTCGGTAGATATCACTCTTCTGAGGTCCGAAAAACAGCCGAAACCAATATACTTTACTGAATTTTTTTGTGTTAATCTATGCAATGACTTTAGTTCTCATTATATTTGAATTGAAGTTCATTCTAAAATCGCTTGAAAAAAAAAAAAAAAAAAAAGAAAGAAATCATTAGGNGCAAATACGTGAAAACTTCAACCATCATTTGAATGACTTTTCTTAAAACTGGTCACAACTGAAAATGTTGCTGGCATGCATCTAAAATAGACTTATCAAACTACTACAACCTGGGAAAAGGCTACCCAGACCTTCAGGTACCTTGTGTGCTTGTTTTTGTTTTTTTTTTCAAACTATCACATATGCATTTTTATCAGACTCTGACCCTAAATGAACAGACCCATCTATACACCATTTCTGACTGGTACAGTAAACTTCAGTCAACTGCCAATGAAGTTAGGCCACAACATTTTAATATTTAAGGAGCTAGCCCATGTTGGCTGTAGAAGTCAGGCTATCATTTCCAAACACTCACATCCTCTCCCTGTGGTACTGGGATACACTGTGCTACTGAGCTGTTGGTCTTGTTGGCCTCCTGCTCTGGGGGATGGAACTTCAGTACTCCCTGGGCAGTAAGCCGGGCAAACTCTTCAGCTGTGAGAACTAGGGGTTTGGAGGCAGCTGTGCCTAACATAGAGGAAAATACTTTTAAATTTAGACAGTCTTCTTCTTCACTAATAATCAAGAGGAAAAAAAGTCTTTTGTCTTCCAACCATAATCTGCATTATACACAGATTCGTACTGGTTTTGGTGTAAATGACATCAAAGAAAGAACTCATGGTTTCCACATTAACACAAACACTGAGATTTCATCACCAATCCTACATCTTACCTTGACTACCTGCACAGGGTGAGCCAGGTGCTACACCAGGTGGCGTTGGTGGCGGTGGGGAGGGTGCAGGGGTTACACAGGCAGAACTATTGGGTAACTTGGGCTGTATCTTCACTTTAGAATTCAACACATTGACAACTTTGGGTGGCAGTGGCTTACTGTCTGGGTTCAGTCCCGTTACATGTGTCAGTTTTACTGTGGTAATGTGTGGCTTGCTGTGTGCGGGTTGAGCTGCTGCTGCTGCCCCCTTCTGGAATGTGACACCACAACTAATGGCTGAAGGCTGTATATACTGGACTGCACTGTCACTGTTGTCTTGGGGAGGAGTTGGAGGAGGACTCTCAAGCTTCACATCAAACTGGTTCAGCAATGGCAGCTGATCAAGGGGGGTCTACAACAACAACAAAATTATATGTATTCTCATTACTCCATTCCAACATCACTTATGAAGGTCTCGGGTGACACAAAAAGCTCAGGGGTAGGCTGCAGAAAAATTGTATAGAAATCGAAACATTGTGCAATATTGTAATGACTTAACCTTACTACACACATGAATTTCAATCAGAGTAAAAGGTTATTTCCTCAGACATACCAATTTAAACCAGACTTAGAAAAAAATTTAGCAAGATGCTGTGCGGAGAAAATTAATAACTAATAAACAACAAAACAACACAACTTCATTACAATTGTGAATGTTGCTGACTTCACTTCAAATCCAGCCATCATGTATTATTTCTTACCTGCTGAAGGAAGGAGTCACCAGAGCAATCTGAGGTATGAGACAGAGCAGGGGAGAAAGGTTCTTGTTTGATACTAACACCTGGAAGAAAAAACAACCACACTTATGAATGCCTCACTACAGTGCTGTACAAGCGTAATGAAACTGATATATTTCTGACATATTTTATTATTGGGAGCTTTAGTTTACTGTGAATTACAAGAGTGTTGGTACTTTCACTGTGAGAATTTATTTTTTTAAATCAACAAAAGTTCAACAAAAGCAAAAGAATATCTTTCACAGAGTGATGCTCTATGCCTTTATCAGTTGACATATTTTTTACTTTTCACTCATTTTTGGCACACCAGTTTACATCTTCCAATTCACCAGTATCAGCTATTTTAAGTGACATATATCACTGCTGTCTACTTACTGCTGATGCCACTGTCACTGCTGTTATCCCCAGGGTCCCTCAACCCATCTGTTTCCATCCAGTCTGGACCAAAGTCAAACTCCCCCAACTCTCCAGGACTCATACCATCTTCTAATATAGGCAGCTGAAAACAAGGAGGGAATACTGTGAGGTTCTGGGGTCCCTTTCTATAACCCCATTCACACGAGACACTTTCAATCGCGATTAGTGCCAAATCGCGATTCTATCGATGTAAAGCTTCTAGTGTGAACGCAGTAGAGACGCCAAATCGCGATTCAAATTAATCCTACTCGAGAGGTGGATTCTATCGATGTAAACTTAAATCGCGATATAAAATTTCCTAGTGAGAACGGGATCGATGTTAACACCGGAAGTTGAGGACTTAAGGCGCGTGCACAGTTTCTATCGAAAGTACAATACAATACAATAAATTTTATTTCATGTCGGGTATAAATTGAAACAAAACATTAGCTAAATACAAACTAAATTAGACTGGTAAGTGAAAGAAAACAAACTGTCTACGCAATTTCAAGTTTCTTCGCAGTCAGCAAAATGGCCAAGAGGATGTACTGGTCTGAAAACTCAGTGGCAGCATAACTAAATATTTGGGCTGATTAGAGTATTAAACAGAAAATAACACCGTACACACCGAAAGCTAGTCTTGAAGGCAGCTACTGCGCATGATCAACAGGATATACCGTGATTCCCCTAGCGAGCACAGTTGCAATTACCAGATCTAGCAAGGTAAATCGCGATTTCGTTTTTACATGTGTGAACGCAAAAAAGTGAATTTAGCTGAGCGCGTTAGAATTGCGATTCCCTTAATCTGGATTAACCATGTAGGTGTGAATGGGGCTTATGAAACAACTTGAGACTAAAAGTTGGTCTTATCTTTTAGATTAACATATGGTCTACTTCAGTTTGAGATAAATCTTGGCCTTAAAGGTCCACAAAGTCTGTTTCACAAAGGACCTTCACACTGAATGTTTGACTACACTTTTAGACAAAATCATTTAGCCCCCTTTGAACCAATATCTGAATAAGGCTTCATTCACATGCAATGTCTATTTTCTAAATTCTATTTTCTATTTGCGGTATGTCTTATGATCACTATCTGTGCCCTGAATATCCCGCGGCGTAATTACTGGCAGCGCGAGCCAATTACTATAAGTTACTATAAGTAACTGGCTCGCGCTGCCAGTAATTACGCCGCGGGATATTCAGGGCACAGACCGTGATCATAAGATAGCGCGAATAGAAAATAGAATTTAGAAAATAGACATTGCATGTGAACGAAGCCTAAGTAGTAGTCAAATTAAATAAAAATGGCCTTTAGTTTATAAAAAAGAAAGGAATGGCTACTGTTTTTATAATTGGCAACTGCAAATTTATCTCAAATTGAAGTAGACCAAAATCTCTCCCAAAGTCTTAAAATGAGGACATAATTTCAGTGTGAAGTTGTTTTAAAAACCCAGTGTACTTCAAGTCTACTTAATGTTACCACAGAAGCAACATTCTTAGCACTAAGTTTAACACTGTAGAGGCAGTGGGATTCATTTCACTGCCTGCACTTCTGGAGGGAACAATTTGTTTTTAAAAACCTTCATATAACATGCAACAAAAAGTATGAAAACCCACAGAGATCTGAAATCACTGAGGGAACCAAAGATAATCCTCAGTCTACATTCTTTTTAATTTCAACACAAAGATGCATGCTACTACATGCCCTGTGTAAAGCTGACACCCAATTGTCCACTTTCCTTGACATTATCAAGCAAAGCAAAAAATAATGTTCATTTCATTAATTAATCTCTTCATTATTCAAGACAGCTCTCCATACCTCTAAATCCTGTGGCAGCTGGTGAAGCAGTTCATCAGAGGCTAAACTTGCCTCCACATCTATGAGACTGGAGAAGTCATCTAATTTGTCCAGGTGAGCTGGATCTGGAAAGATAAACATGGTCACAATTACATACCTAACTTCAGGGCTTGCAACACTAACTTTTTTCGATAATGGCCCGAGATATCGGTGAATATTGCAAGGATGATTTGTCACATGACATTTTACTTGGTCTTTGGGCCAGTGACCCCAGTGACTCAATGGCCCCAGGTTGGTTTTCATTAGCCCAGGTCAAGCCCTGAACTTGTCCATATATTAATACATTTTGTTTGGTTGTAGAGTCATCATAACTACTGTACTAGTACACCCATCTTTCTCCGCAAGAAACATGCAGTGCAATCTCAACCATTCCACATTATCATCAAATCATGAACCTGTTCTGAGATATACTGATAATTTTCTTTTTTGTAACCAACCTTCGTATCCAAACACATTGTTCAACCAAGAAAATGCTTTTTCATATGCCATTTCAAGTCCTTCTTTCCCTCTTGCAAAATTGTATAGATCTCCAATCTTTCCGTTGTTTAAGTTCCAAGCAATGTGTTGGAAATAACTCACATCAGAATACTTAATAATTTAGCACACAAGCAATATTTTTCAATGCTGGTAGCATAAAGTGTAAGATGTGAGTCAGGTAAAGGTTTGTATTGCCTAGCCTTTAGTTTATGCCTCTTCTACAATCAGAAGAACTGCTCGAGGTTGTTTCTTCACTCCGTGACTGTTAGATCTCTTAACTTTGGTGCCTTGTTTTGAAAGTTGCCAAAAAATACAGCAACATAAAACCAACAAAAGCCATGTTCTTGGTACCAATCCACATATAGCTGAATAAAAAAATCTGCATAAAAACCAGTACCACTGTAGCTCTGATATAACTCTTACATCACAGAGTCATTACAGTCTTAAGTCTTGGAACCTGGGTTCTTGCGCCAAGGGCATGCTTAAATCAACTGGAAACTGCCACAAATGACCCCTTTTCTCTTGTTTTCAAGATTCCATCCCCAAAATTGCCATAACAAGGCACAAGGATAAAGCTATTCCAATCATTCATGTATGAAAACTACTGCTAATAATGACTGCTACTGGCTATAAAATGTGTTATAGTCTTGCTACAACATCTGTGACACTTGCATATATCTGAAATTCTAAGAGCCGCCAGTGTCATATATGCAAGCTCACCTGCCTACAGCAAAGGATGTAGGTTTTTACTTTATATATGACCTGGCTTCCAATGTTCTGATACCGTTTTCCCAGAAAGCAGAGTTTCCAGTCCTAATAGACTCCTTTCCAAAGCAAAGCAATCACTTCTTTTCAAGAAAAAACATCAGCATAAAAAAATGACATCGCATATTACAAAACTAGTAATTTCGACACTTGTTTTCTTCTTCTCTTCTTTAAGTGTTTAACAATTATTCCCTGGTTTCCTTCATCAAGATAAGTTTTTAAATATGAGAACAGTTGCATGCAGTGTGATATTTCTATTATATTATAGGCACATGATCATCTTGCTTAATAAAGAGCTCAGAGATATTTCCCATGCCAGAAGTCCTCCAGACCATTTCACATTTCCACATGGAAGCTCAGTACAAAAGCAGTTTTAAAAAATTCAAAACAACTGAATTAAATGGCAATTACTTAATTCAGTGAGATGATTTATAGACCACAGGAGATCCCCAGCTCAACTCTGTGCTTGTTTTTGTGGCTGATGTAACCAGACATTATTCACTGAAAATATTCTGCGTACACCACATCTAAAGGGTCAGCTGAGTCCAGCAACGGCCAGTTCTGTTCCATGGCAAAAAACACAGAAGAAAATGCAAGACCAAAAATAATCAACCAGCAAGTGAAACTCCCAAGAGACAAAGAAACAAAGACTACAAATGCTACCTGTGCCCGCATCATAGCAAGTGTTAAATGACCAATCATATTTGACCTGACAAATTGATCCAAGCTTTTGATGTATTGTAGCTGTAACACAATAGACAGGTGACGTAGTGCATGAAACAAAGATATATGGAACAATTATAGTTATACCACCATTAGCTTTTCCACAAACAATGACCCGACTTCCTCTTCAGTTCAATATTAGACATGTAATCACCCAACAATACATGGACTTATCTCCTTAGAGTTAAGATCAGGCTTTGCTCATGTACACACTTCACTTCATATAACAGGAAACTATTGCTTGGTCAAAAGATGACTGAAATAATTTGTACTTATTCTATTTCTTGGAAAAAAATGAACTTCAGAATGCTACCCGGTGTCACGTGAAGAAACCGTCGTCGTGAATAAACCGTTCTGACGGATTATTCACGCGGGGGTAGCAGTCCGTGAATAAACCGTCGTCGTGAATAAACCGTCGTGCCGCGCTGGTCATGCTGCTTACCTGGCCATTGTTCTCCGGTTTTATTACGCAATTTGGAGGCACTGTACAGTGCCGATCCCCACATATATATATCACACCTTACCTGGTTATTGTTCTCAAGATACACCAATTAGGCCCTACTACAGCTGTTGTAAGAACCTAGAGGAGATCGTTCAAATTTTGTCCTTTGTATTGTGGGTCAAGTTTATCTGTTAGTGTTAGGTATAATTTTGTTTAGCTACTATTTATGCATTTTTTAAAACTTTATATTAATAATATTTTGGTCTGTCTTGCCGAAGTAGTTTATTGCGGTAACCGTAGACAGCAACCAGATCCTAAAACAATTAAGACGAGAGAACTTTTAACCAACATACCTGGGTAGCCTTGTGAGTACACAGATTGTTGATATTTAAGAAATCTCTTAAAGAATTTTCAGTTGACTTCCATGCCAACTTCAGGAATATATTTGAAAAATAGAGATTTAAAGTTAAGAAGAAGGCCCTATTTATTGATACAAACAAAAATCGCAATTAAATGTAATTTAATGTTTTTTCCATTCAATTCTAGTGCCAAATTGAGACTTGGATGAATTTTTGAGATCATGTATGGTATATGTCCACCAATATAAAACTAGTCATTTCGTGTTACTTGTCATGTGTTTTGTAATCATTGCAATATTAAGTGAACTTCGTTGTCTTCATATTTTACATATAAAGAACCAGTATTATCCTCAGCAAAAAAAAAAAAAAAAATGTATAAAAATCAAACTCAATTTATTGTTATATTTCTCATTGCTTTATCACAACACGAATGATAAATGTTCACATATTTTCAAATAATAATAATAATAATAATAATAATAATAATAATAATAATAACTTCTAAACAGGAATATATCAAAGCAAGGGCAAGGGTCAAACCAAAGATAGACCAAACATCTTTTTGACACATATTACAACATGACAAAATGTGGCCAAAATCAGCAAAAACAAAAATTCTTTTCAGCCATCATTCAAATGTTTTCATAATTTTCTTAATTTTGCGCACAATTTTGTACAGTTTTCAACCTTTTTGAAACAATATGTTAAGGATAAATTTACATTTCAGAAAATGTTTTAGACTTTTGTTCCCAGCAGACGTTGATAAAACATCCTTCAATGTAATTGTAATATTTCTTATTTTTTT